AGCTGTGGGACCTTTCACCTGTAAGATTACAGCTGCCCAAAACTGACCTTAAGTCACCTCAATGCTTAGCACTCTTCTGTGCCTTAGTCATCTCTATTGACTGAGGACAACAGGTGTTGGTGTTTGTCTTTTCTAATTAGACCATAAGACCACGAACACTAAAATACACCTTAGCATGACTTCCTGTTTCATCTGGGGCAGAGTGGTTTTCTTTTCAGTGCTGGCTCTAGGAGAAATGCACTGTTTATGTAACGCACCCCTGTCTTAGCTGTTGCTGAGCAATGCCAAGAATACCATGGAGCCTTCCTTGGATGCATGGGAGGATAAATTACTCTGGCTGTTATTATCTAAGTTGCTTTCTAAATACTACAAAAAAACATGCTTCCTCACTTCTTTCTCTCTCTTTTGCTGCTGCAGATGTGGTATGAAAATGGAATGCCACCTGTCTTCTGGATTTCAGGATTCTTCTTCACGCAAGCATTCTTAACTGGTGCCCAGCAAAACTATGCCAGAAAGTACACTATTCCAATAGACCTGCTAACATTTGACTATGAAGTGCTGGAAGATAGGGAATATGAAGTTGCTCCTGCTGATGGTAAGTAAACTGAGCATTAGTTAACACTATTTTGCAGACTCAAGAATTAAGCAGTTAAGTTACTGAATGTAATTAGGTAGCTATGAAACATACAGAAGGGTGCTGTTCCCCCTGTGAAATGCGCAAGATACTGAAGAAGCAAAATGCTACGTAAAACATTAGTGGACTCTGATTTTTGCCTGAAGGGATAAAATATCATCAAAACAGAATAGTTCTTACCCCCTAACTTCCCACTACAGTTAAAACTTCCAATTTTTCAAGCCCCTTTTTTCTTTTCCTGGTTATACAACTTGGGAAATTTTCCTAAACAAATGAAAGCAAAGCCATTTGCTGTTGCCTGCACTTGCTTTGCTATCCACAGTAAAATAGGTTGTGGATCTGACTAGGATGCACAGTACAGAACTACATTCTTAAAAACTACTTGGTCAGTCTCCTAACTTCAGAAAAATGAAGCATTAAACTGAACATTTTGTAATAAAATGACTTAGGAGGAAGGGAAAATAATCACACTCTTTCTAATACTTTCGAGAGAATCTGTTTGACTGGGAGCTGTGTAAAGAAGGCTGCTGCAGGGTGCCTACGAAAACATCACCCACTCAGTTTCAGCTTCTCATCGTGGTTTTTAAAATGTTTCTTAAAACTTCCATACTTTTTACTTATTACAATTTATATTATAATTAATATTTAAGATTACATATATTATATATTACTTGATTGTACTTGAAACTATTGTTAAACTAATAACTTTAAGTTGTGTTTTTGTAAGTGAGTTAGATTTTGAAACAACAAAGTTGAACTACTGAAAGACTCTTAGAGATACCTTCAAATATCCTCTGAAAAAACTGACAGAAGCACGTAATATACATCATAAACACAGGAGTTTATGATGACAAATGTAAAAATCATGTCCAGTATTTTAAATTGGAATTTTAAACCTGCCTTATGATTTAAGACAGGACATGCTGTGCTACTGCTAGATGCTGTAACTTTCTAACACTTCATGAAACTGTAACTATATAAAGTTTTAACTTGGCAAGAAATATAGTGTTTCAAACAGACAATCAAATACTTTTAACACAAAAATTGACGGAGGCCCACACAGTCAATCAGCTGATGGCAAAGTGTGCTGCAGTGGCTGCTGCTTTCAGTTAGAAAACCCTCCCAGCATTCTTGTAATGTGTTCTCTTACTCAACTGATTTAGGGGTCTACATCCAGGGACTGTTCTTGGATGGAGCGCGTTGGAACAGAGAAACTAAAAAGCTAGGAGAATCTCATCCGAAAGTCCTCTACGATACAGTGCCTGTGGTGAGTGTATATTACATTTTATAACAGTTTTATAGTATTATATGTGAGCAACTTCTATGGATTAAATACCTAAGTGGCAAACTTTAAGGGAGCAACAGGGTAACTCAAAAGTTCACAGCACCTACTAGTAACAGTAGCAACAGTACATTTAGCATTGCAGATCTTGTTCAAGGAAGCAATCAGCAAAGAAAAGATTAAACAAAACGTAGGTTTTCAGGCCAATCTGTTCAAAAGCAAACACTGCTGTTAAAAATACTTAGGCCCAACTGAGAAGGTTTCCCACCGCCCCCCCCCCCTTAAAAAACAAACTCACGCGTAAAGGATTATTCTTTGCTGCAGATATGGTTGAAGCCCTGTAAGAAAGCCGATGTTCCGCAACGACCCAGTTACCTGGCTCCAGTGTACAAGACCAGCGAGAGAAGAGGGGTACTGTCAACCACTGGCCATTCCACCAACTTCGTCATCGCGATGACCCTTCCTTCTGATAAACCACAGGAACACTGGATCAAACGGGGGGTGGCATTATTATGTCAGCTTAATTCATAAACGTACAGGAATTAGCGGGGGCTCCTTTTCTAGATCACCCGTGAAGAATGCGTGTCAGTTCTGAATGGCCATATCAAAAAGTAAGTCTACATATGAAAGGATTCATTATAAAGCAGAACACATTTTGCACGTTGCAATTTGTGACATATAAAATACAAGACTGCAGAATAAAACCTCATGAAAGCCAAAAAGAACATCTGCTCCTTTAATAATTTTATTTTTCGAAGGCTCCTTGTTTATAAGGAACATACATAAAAATGAACACAACACTGTTGACAATGAACAGAACAGCATTTGATCTTCTCCAGCTTTATAAAATTAAAAAAAATGATGATAACAAAAAGACTGATAGTTCAGCTGTATCTTAAAGGACCATAATCACATTAGAAACCATAGACTCAATTGTTACCAAGAGGGGACTTTTTTATTTAAAAAATATCACACTGCAGCTAGCAACAACAGTATTTCTAAGCGTAATCACAGCAGATCGAGTGCAATGTGATCTACATCAAAATTGATATGGGATGTCACACAGTGACAGCATTTTAATATACAAATAACACGCCCTCCAACAAGTACAAGTGAGATGAGACTCTGGATTCAACAGAATGGAATGTACAAACCAAGTGGAAATGTAGTGGAATTCAGATCATCTGTAACGTGACTTAAAAGCGTACATTAGAACTATCTGAATTTCAGAACTGGTGGAAAACCTACAGCGGAAGTCATGGGCATTACACTGCCCTTGGTAAGTTGTAATAAATATTACAAAATGAAAGACAAACAACATATGTATTTAATGAAAAAAAAAACCAGTACCTGCCTTGAAAGACCGTATTTTCCCTTGTCTGAAGAAGGTCTTGAAAGGAAGTTGAATATTTCCTATGCAGGCAGTGTATTAAGCAAAAACCATACTCCAACTAATACAAAAGTAAATATACTACCTCAAATAAACAATTTTTCATTTGAAACATATTAAAAGAAATAAACTTACTTAAAAAAATGACACACACGTCGGTTAGACCACATGGCCCCCTTATACTTGACAGAGTTAACAAAAAAATTAAAATTAAGGGTCAGTTCAATACATAGGCAATATAAGTCACAGGATAATTACAGAGGATCTTAGCATCGATAACTTAAGTCTCCTTGAAAAAGGTATTCAGGGATGTACGGTGAGCACCGGGTAAATTAAGTGTCACCTACGATCGTTGCACTGCACAAATTCAGCAATCTGAAGCTAATAACAGTACACTTGCTCATTAGGGTCCAAAGGTAAATGTTTTTAAAGAGGAAAACTAACGAACCGACAAGTTCTCGGCATCAAATGGCCACATGTCTAAACTCTGCGTTTCGGCTTCTTCACCGAAGAAACTGCGCTATTCTTTCAAACGGACCCTTAATACTGTTCCTTGATACTGCATTAGAAAGAAATACTGGCAAGAACCAACCAACACCTTGAAAATACACAAGCTGCTTCTGTTAAGAACTAAACGGACCGATGAGGCTTCAGAAAGTAACAGGCCACGAGAAACACACAAACTTGAAATGGAATGAGATACCAGCTGGTGCTCTTTTTAGCTGTTAGCATTGGTACGGTTTCAGCAGCGAGCAGACTGAAACAAAACTCACAGCACATAGCTGAGCAACGGCTTACCTGGCATACACAAAGGAGATGGCAAACTGGATGTTTTGGAAAAGGCTCCTTCCATGATTACGAGTGGAACTACAGAATCGACTCGCGCTGCGTATTTGTTCTTAAGGAGATAACGGGTACAAGAACTCCTCGCTCCTGTCTGGCAGTATAACTACCTCAGCAAAATCTGATCCAGGATGGGCTCCCAGCATATTAAGGCTGAAAACTTTCAGTCTATCCTTCCACATTAGGCATACGACCGCTCTATCGCGTTTGCTTTTTAATAATCAAAGACCAAAATCCTTTTAAAAAAATCATACAAATGAACTAAAATTTATGCTGGAAGTAGAAATCTTCTTAGTCTCAACCGCAGAAATGGCTGGTGCCACAACGCCTGATTTTGAGGCACTGTAGAAACAGAGTACAGTAAGTAACCCTACATGCACATAGCGTATTTTAACCCTTGTGCCCACGTTCAGTTACTAGCATGTTTGTTGTACTTTACTTTAAAATAGAAGAAAACATTCCAAAGTAACTGTTAGAGAAAAAAGTCCCATATGGATTCTCCAGAAAATTAAGAGTTTGCACACATTCACAGCCACAATTCTTCAGTAGTTTATGCTGCAAGTGGCACACGATACATGTTTAGCATCTGTAGAAAAGAACCAGGAATAGCTCACTAACTCCAACATCGGGGATTTCCCCAAGCTAGCGCTAATTCTACTGCAGTTTGCATTTTCCTACTAATACAAAGAACAAACATCAAATAAATTTTAGTCAGGAAAACATCGTCAAAGTGATCCTCAACAGGACATTATAGCACTTTGCAGCGTATATTGCAACAGCCTGCCTTCTTACACATACATAAAGTTAAAATAAGGGAGTGCAGCTTACGGTTTTGGGCTTCTTTTTTTAAAAAATATTTTAGACAGTGGTTTCCACTCGTCTATTGTTGTTAAGATTTAATACTTAAAGTCACCACTATGCAGCAGAACCAGCGCTACGCATGCATCGCATATATATGCACAGATAGAAGATACATACATATATATATATACATATATATATGCCTGCTGCTTTAGACTTGTGCAGTATTAAAAGGTTCCTTGCATAGGTATGATTTTCAGCTGTAAAATTTTCTGGGTTCTGATAAACACGGTATGAAATGCTATTTTTCCCAAGTGCGTACATCCTTCACTGTCATTGTTTATATAAGCAAGCAGCGCACTGAACTTGGCATTTGTTTCTGGAATTTACTATTTCCCAATTGCCACTTAATGGAGTTTAGAAGATGCGTTTGAGCAATCTCATCTGATTTAAATCAGAAAAATGTAGCCGATAATACACACAGAAATGAATAGAACGTACTTGTGTAAGTAGTGCAAGCCGCTGCTTTTCCTCTAAGCAATGTGCATACAGTGAAACAGTGCAGACTCAAAGCCGTACAGTAATAACATCGTATCCACAGCAAACACCAGAATACGGTCAAAATTGGATGTTAAGCACAATTTTATCTTCGTAGAGGGCAATCACCAGCATGATGGCAAATCCAAGAAGCAGGCCTAAATTCTGCAGAATGAACTGCCCCACCGGACAATAACCATGCTCTTCATTATCTCCGTCTCCATGAAGCATTTCTGGAAGCTAGAAAGAAAAGCAATTAAAAAAAAAAGAAGTTATTTCACCTCTATTGTATTTAATCACTGACAAATTTACAAGACAATATTTCACAAGAAAGAATAAGCAATTGAGGTTTTAGTTATAAAAACAAGCCACCAGTACATACTTAAAACTATTCACAATCACTGCATTTTAGAAAAGCTGTCTACTAAAATACATTATGTGTTTGAGACTAAGTGAAAACTCTTTTCCACCGGGCTCTCCTACAGCTCTTCCTGGATCACACATCTAGTTGAACTTCCAATTTCAAGGGCCAGCCCAGTATTCTTTCGGTCTGCTCTTTCAAGTTTGTTTACTCAATTAAAGCTAGCCACACTGCTATAAAGACTTAGTCGATTAACTCAGCCCTTCGTCTCATTCATTATATGCTTTACATATATTTACACGTGTTTGAGAATAGCAAGGTTGACTGTGCACGTCACAGGTAATTCAGGAGTAATTTCACAGACTTCTATAGAAAGTTCTGAAAGCTGTGGCCGTTCCTCAACTCTCAACTCTAAGGAAAACATCAAATAGTACTGACAGAAGCACTAAGTAAATGCAGACGTGGAAGATGTAAGAATAAATCTTCCAAAGTGCCTTACAAGACCGCCCAGGCAAGACAAAAATAACTTAAAGGATTTCCTTTGTTTACCTTATGTTTTTGTCAGTTCATTTCTTCATAAACCATATTGAGAAAAAAACAAAACATTATATAGATCAAACAAACTTCAGTCAGTAGAGAGCACAAGTCTCTATTGTAGCTCTTCATAAAATAGGCTATAACTGTTCTGGTTATTCCAAATACTTGAGTACAGTACAACAAACAAACAAATTATCAGACCTTCAGATCAGCTAAAAAGATTAATATATCGCCTATTTGGTCTTGCCTTACTGTATTTCACAAAGATACGTAAACTGACTATTTGATCCACTGAAAATTTAATTGTAAAAAAACCACACCGCTATGAAAATTATTCATCTCTGCTACAAACTACTGAACTTCTCAATTTATAAGCTCTCGATATGACGAACTTCAGTGACTGTGTATTAAGACTAGTCCTGTCAATACAAACACCTATCGCAGTTGAAAATTTATAGTCTCTTGCTATATATATATAAAATTTACCAGTATGAATAGAATTCAAGTCATCTCCACATAAGTGACAGCAGAAGGTCATGGAGAGCCTTAAGGATTTAAGATTTCTGAGTTGAGTTCAGGTTCTACCTCCTCTCAACTAGGAGCAAACTATACTTTAGAAATATAGAAATATAACTAATTAAATGAACTTCCATCATATGCAAGAATGCCAGAAGGTCAGTCGCCCTGTAGCGGACCTCAGCGGAGCTACAAAACAAATTCCGTTCCTATTAGGTGTCAGAATACAGGGACTTAGAGAGGAAGGCAGATTAAGGAACACAAACTTGGTGTGGTTTCAAGTGTATCATGCAGAGGCATTCCTGTTGTTTAGGAATTCTCTTGTTTAGAGTCAGACTATATCGAACGCTAATGTGCCTAAGGAAAAGTACCAAGAATAAAAATGTTGCAGAATAAAAGTATTGCCTTCCTTTATACATTCTTCAGTCGAAGTACATAAAGGAAAAAAAAAATAAGAGCACAGAACTTACAGGAAAGTGGCTGGTATCCAGTAACTATAGGCTATCGCTGAACATCTATATTTGCAAAGAGTTATTCTCTACTATGCTGCCATTCATCTCAGCAAGATCTGAAAAGGACTGACCGACTTATAAGAGCAACTTCAACACTGGGGCATATTTACTAATTAAAGCTCTCTAAAATTAAAGAAATAGCCCATTTTGGGCTGTCTTAATATTGACAGAAAAAAGACAGTGATGATCAGCTTTCATGAGTCCCGGTCCTAAAGGTTCTAGCGGAAGCAGGACTATCGCAGGTCCTCCATAACTAAAGCTGAATTTAAAGGCGAGAAGCCAGTAGCCCCACTGACACTCCGTTTCCTGAGCCCAGCGTGGCAGTAATTGCAGAGGTAAGTTTACTAAGCTGCAAGACAGATCCTGCTCATACCAGGAAATTCAGTAGAAACGGAACCTCTTTTGGCTCTCTTCACTAATGCTTCAAGGATACCGGCAAGGCAGAGAAACCTGGCAAGGAACTCGGAGTCGCTGGCCACATGGGAGAAGAATTTTCAGAATGTCAGCTGCTTTGGTTTGCACCAGGGAAACAAAAATCAAAATTGTCTTACCATATCGACCAATGCCACATAGAGGAACATGCCTGCAGTGACTGCGAAGATCCACAAGGTGATGTTATTTGCATACTGTCCCACCGCTGTGCCAATCAGCATGCCTACGTAAGCCATCATGGCAGACAGCAGGTTGTACACAATAGCTTGCTTTACTGTCATACCAGCCTTAAGAAGCACAGCAAAATCACCTGAAGACAAAATACAGCAGTTTAGTATCGGTACTCCTCTGGACACAAGCAGCTAAGTTAGCCTACATTTACTATCTCAGCAATCCAAGGCATCGCCCAACTAAAACGCTGCAGCGATCATGCCGCGGTACAGTTTGTGATCTGGAGGAATGCAGGCCTGGCTAAAAGTACAGTCATGTCTGCCAGGACCTGAAGCTCCAGGTGAGGGTGAGATGAGTGGATTCCATCCCATTGTAGAAGTGAAATGTGTCCGAGACCTCCTCATGAAACTGAATGTAACTAAGTCCATGGAGCCAGATGATATCCATCCTAGGGTTCTGAGAGAGGCGGCGAATGTGGTTACCGAGCCGCTCTCCGTCTCATATTTGAAAAATCGTAGCTGCTGGGTGAAATCCCTGGAGACTGGAAGAAGGGAAACGTTACTCCCATTTTTAAGAAAGGGAGAAAGGATGACCCGGGCTAGTGAGCCTCACCTCTGTGCTTGGTCAGATCACGGAGCAGATTCTCCTAGAAGCTTTGTTAAGGCATTTACGAGAAAAAGAAGTGATTCGAGACAGCCAGCATGGCTTCACCAAGGACAGATCTTGCCTGACCAATCCGGTGGCCTTCTATGGTGGAGTGATGGCTTTAGTGGACCAAGGAAGGGTGACGGATGACATCTATTTGGGCTTCTGCAAAGCCTTTGACATGGTCCCTCACCCCACCCTTCTCTCTAAATTGGAGTTGATACACTGAAAGGAAGGGAAGCCATCCAGAGGGACCTGGACAGACTTAAGAACTGGGCCTGCAGAAAGCTAATGAGGTTCAACAAGGCCAAGTGCAAGGTTTTGCACTTGGGTCAGGGCAATCCCAGGCACTTATACAGACCAGGTGAAGAACCATTTACGAGCGGCACTGCCGAGAGGGACTTCGGGGTCCTGGTGGATGAGAAGCTGGACACAAGCCAGCCGTGCGTGCTTGCAGCCTGGAAGGCTGACTGCGCTCCAGGCTGCATTAAAAAAGGGGTGTCCAGCAGGGAGAGGGAAGCAATCGTCACCCTCTACTCAGCTCTTGTGAGGCCCCATCTGGAGCACCGTGTCCAGGCGTGGGGCTCCCGGTACAGAATGGACATGGAGCTCTTGGAGCGGGTTCAGAGGAAGGGCCAGTAAGATGATCAGAGGGCTGCAGCACCTCTCCTACGAGGAAAAGTTGAGGGAACTGGGCTTGTTTTTGAGCTTGGAGAAGAGAAGGCCCTAGGAAGACCTCATTGCAGCCTTCAAGTACTTGAAGGGAGCTTGTAAACAGGAGGGCGAACGACTGTTTACGTGGGTGGATAGTGACAGGACAAGGGGGAATGGTTTTAAAACAGGGGTGGTTTAGATTAGATACTAGGAGGACGTTTTTCACACAGAGGGTGATTAAGCACAGGATGCCTGAGGAGGCTGCGGATGCCCCTTCCCTGTAGGCAATCAACGCCAGGCTAGATGTGGCTCTAGGCAGCCCTGTCTGGTGGTTGGCGACCCTGCACATAGCAGGGAGGTTGAAACTAGATGATCACTGCGGTCCTTTTCAACCCAGACTGTTCTATGACTCTACGATTCTAGGCTAGAGGGTCTCAAAAGAAGACCGGGCGGCAGGACACAAAAACTCTTGTAACACCTCTGTGTGTGGCAATGCCTTGCTTAAAATACGATTTAAAGGTAACAATTCATCGCTTTAATCTCGCACCAGTTCAGGCTATGGACAAAAAAAGAAAACCACCAAGAACTCCTCTCTCGAGCTGCTCTTTTGCAAATCTTGGGATGCGCTAATATTTCATGCGACGTACCTCGCGGCTGACACAAGCACATATTTCATCATGACAAGCTAGCACCCGAGAAAAAATGCCTTAGTTACGGGCAAGAGTCAAAGGCACCAGCAACGATGCTTACAGGCTTTAGCCAAACAGCCATTCAAATTGACCAGACTCAGTGATAATCAGTACAATCAGTACTTCTGGACATCTACACAAAGACTTCTACTTCATCATTTAACTTTCGGTAATATGTCATACAATATATAACATTTTTCAAGACAACGCAACAGACTCCATACAAAATGCAGAAAATGTACCCTCTCTACTCCTGAATACCTTTGTAAGCGTGCTGAAAATACTTCACAGAACATTGTAGCTAAATGCCTGGCAAACAGATCTTGACAGTCTCATTACTTATGCTGAAACAATACTGCTCAATCACTCTCCAAAGGTCCGGTCACCCTTGCTGCAACTGCACCTATCCACCAGCTATCAGGAGGAGTATCACAACAGCATTTACACACACGCGTTCATTCAGTCTTCTTATATGAAGTATCGGTTTTATAGAATTCATTACCTAATTCATGGGGCAGCTCGTGACAAAATACTGCTATAGATGTACTGATCCCTCCTGTCAGACCAGCACTAAAAGCTGCTCCTGAAAGAAAAGAGAAAAAAGATACAAACACCACGTTACTGTATAATCAATGAATGTACAGATGTTATAATTATGAAATATACCACAGAGTTTGGCTAAGCAGTTATTAAACCAAAAGAGAACACACAGAACGCTCACCCGTATCCTGGGCTCGCTATGAAACTCCAAAGGAGGGGATCTCCAGAAGAGATCCTTCCCCACTGGTAGTCAGCTCTTAAATGGGTCTAGGAGAGGCAGAGCCAGGCTCCACCCCTTCCGGCAAGGCAGGTGAATTGCCTTCACCTGTGCTCCAGTGGCTGACTCCTTGCTCGCCTCAGGTGATCAATCAGAGGTTCCCAGACAGTTACTATTCTCAAATCAGTGAATTTATTCAACAGACTCGCCACCTTTTTTTAAAACATGCACACTAGTACTTTGATTATACCAGAAGTACCCTAGTGTGCATTAACGCTGCGTACATTATTACCTAGTTCAACCAAACAGCAAAACCTGAGAGAATGCAAAACAAAGACAGAAAGGCAAAAGGGAAGAACAGCACCCCTTTACACATTTGGGGCATTTCAAGCACACTAGAGTAACTAAAAAAGCACAAGAGCAACAGTCTTCCAGGTTGGAAATCCCGTCTAACGGTGTAACAGTTCTTTAATGCCTATTCCTAATGCAATATCAGCAACACAAACAAGCCTAACTTAGGAGACAATATGAAGAAAAACATTCGTGTGAGACTTTTTTAAAGTAACTTTTGCATATATTAATGTAATTCAATTGACTTAAAGTTTGTAGCTTAAATAATTTAGAGATGAGAAAACTGACAATAAACTTTTGTACTTCAGAAGTGAAAAGATACAAGGAGAGCTTGCAGTGAGCAGGCCAAACCAAAAAATGTAAGTAGAAAAGCACAAACTTAAGACAGAGAGAAAACAAACTTCCCTTAGAAACCGATGCATTTCTTATAAGTTGATATATTAAAAAGATTTGTACGAGCATTTCTAAAATCTACAGCGTACTGCATATTCAGCTGTTTTGATTTGATGTAGAAGTGTTTAGAAATGGAGTTTTACAACAGGGAAGCTCTCAATACGTGGCACAACGATCCCGTTAGACCTTAGAAGCTACTGCCAAAACGTCTTACGTGTTTAAAATGGAACAAGATTTGTTACGCAGTTATTTTAGTTTAAAACTGTTTGAAGAAAAGTGGAGATACTATAGAAGAATTTGTCATTAATTCAAAACCTGTCTAAGTAGCTTGTCCTTTAAAACAGGTGAGTAGGTAAACACATCCCTTCTGCAAGCAGTTCACAACTGCATGCTTTCTGCATCTACTTTACTGAAATAAATAAATCGGAACATAAAAGAATCACTTCTGGAGGTTTATATAAATCAACGTTGACTTAATAAGCTAATGAGATCCGTAATTGTTCTAATTTGCCCGTTCAGTAGTTTAATTTCTTATACTTTTGGCTAGAAATAAATCTACATTAATTGTAAGCAAAAATAATACTTTGCTTAGTTTTTTTTTTTTCAGCATAGGAGGAGGAACGATGCGACAACCGGACTCACAGTATGTTAATTACAAATACTGGGTACTAATAACAAAAAAATTATTATTACAAATACTTAAAATCCTAAGTAAATAGAATTCTAAAGAATTTCTTGTTTCTTACTCTAAGGTAAATACTGAGACCCAAACAACCAATGTGCGTGTTACAGTTATTCCTCAATCCCTAAGGAGTTTTCTCTGTGCCTATCTCAATTTAACAGAGATCGCTCCTGTTGCTGACATCAATAGAGTAATCGTGGTGGAAACAGACAATAAAGTGGAGATTATTAGAACTGATGACCTTTTAATTCCCGCTATGATTTAACAGTGCCGGTAGCCACAGAAGACAGGGAAATCTTCCCTGTGATCGCTTCTAACATACCACCCAAGTTACTCAAGGTAGGAAACTGCTGAGTAACACTCAGCGGTTTTGCTTACCTATTGCCAAGCCGTCGCTGAAGTTGTGAATGCCATCTCCCATGATTACCATCCAAGCAATATTAGCTATCCCTGTATCTTTCAGGTCTTTTCCAGAATGACAGTGGCCGTGGGAATGATGGGAGTGTTTGTGATGCCAGTGGTGACTGTGTTTTCTAGCTATCATCTTATCTTCGCCATGGCTGTCGTACTCTAAATCATGAAGATCGTGTTCTTGAGCAGCACGTAAGACATCATTGTGAGAATGGTGCACGTTGTTCTCTTCTTCTACAGACAAGAAGTTTTTGGGAGGAGATTCCAGCTGGCCATCTAAGTCGGTCAGTTCGGTTTCATTAAGTCTGTCTTCAGATAAAACTGAGTCATCTGCTCCTACGTTGAAGTCAGAGGAGAGAGAGAAACATCGCGTTAACTCTTAAATGAAGTATCGCCAGCACCTACCGCAACACTGAGCTAATATTATAACTGCTTTGTGAAAGTAAAAAAACAGTGTTTTAACTCAGCCCGATCTAATAACAGTGCGGTCAATGTTCTGCCAAAAGTAAATATTCCAATGTAATTACTCTATCTTTCAGCAATTTGCATATACAGCATTTACAGCATCCACAGGTTTAGCCTGATGGACTGTACCTGTAATTCTGCTACAGACAAAGTATACAGTTCAACACTGGATAAGGACAATTGCCAGGACTGTACCAATGTTGTACAGGCATGCAATTCTATCTACAGCACATAAGTCACCGAAGAATACTACTAAACAACAGATCTCATAGTAGTTTCTGTACTGCATGTTTCTGCAGGACAGACACTTGTGTCACACGGTATCTCGTTACCCTGCTCGCAATTAATCAAATCTATTTTTACAGAGAAATTGAAGTAAAAAGGATGCCAAAGCTGTACGTGCATGAATTTTAAGCCTACTGATACCTCTAAAATACTGATAAATAAATGAAATAAATGAAATGAAATTGACAATCTGTACTACAGGAAACAAAACCAGTTACAGAAAACACAAACGAAACAATGACAAAACCACAGTCCTAGGCAGTGAATTTCATAGTTTAAAAGATTCCACAGGCACGTAAGCACAACTCAACCGTGATAAGAACTTCTAAAAAGCAGCACAGAGAACTTCAAGATAAGCAGGCACTCATACGTACTTTGGAGGATTGAATAACAAATGAAATGACATTCATATCTGTGATAGGGGTGCTGCAGTCCAAATTCAAGTTTAGCAGAGGCTTTTGGTAGCTTTACTGTAAATTATTTACTGAATATACTTTCAGAGGAACAGTGCTATAAAACTGCATCAGCAGAAGCAAAGCTCCTCTGATTGTTCATTAAAAGAAAATGAATGCATTTCAAATGTACGTATTGCCACGCTCATAGTTAAAAAATCTTTCTTTTCTATGTCAATCCTTCAAATCTCATTCTAAGTCGCTTGAATGAAAGAGGCTGCAGACCTAACATTTCCTTCTAGGAACCGCTCAAATGAACAAACTGTATTTGTACAAACATAGCGCATGGATTCTTCTTCAGGAAATGAGTTACAACAGTCACGCCAGCAACGGAATGGGAAGTTTATGAAACAAAGCTCTTCCCCTTCTCTCATCCCTTCAAGGCAGGTGCTATGGCATTCCATCTGGGTGCATACTGCATGAGCAGTTCGACTGTCATGAACAAACAATACGTGAAAGTTGTTTTGAATACCTGAGAAATAACAGACTCTCAATTACGTTTATTAAAGAAATTATTTTCGCTTGGCCTTCTCAGCCAAACGGGAATTGGTCAGACTGGAATCTCTGAAGTGTAACAGATTACACTCCTTCAGGTCACGCGTGTTAGTTTTTACCAGGGCTGAGCCAGCTTAATCAGAACACTCCCAGAACCAAAGAATCACGGCCACCCAAAACCCTGACTGCTTCAGAAGTCTGAGAACCACTTGCAGGGCATATCAGGAAGTGTTTGCGTCGCTCTCAGATCTAACAAAAACAAAATATATAGCACAGGGAAAGCCTAGTAAGTCTTATTAACAACGATTTACATAACAGCAGCACAACTGTACAAGAGGGGACGCGCTACATGCCAGAAGTTACATGCCGTTACTTTGAATCTCACAGTCAGAAAAAACGCTGAAAATAAATGCCTACCTGCAAGAGGTTTGAGCTGAAGCCAGTCAGCATCTGGTCTATTATTTAATTTCTGATCTGAAAGTTTCCTTCCAATTGGTGATTCTTCACTCTGTTTATTCTTGCACCATTTCTGCTTACTCTGCAACGGGAAAGATTTAATGCCCGATTTTAGAGGGACAGTGATTGAAATAAAATAAACTGAAATACTGTCAAAAATCTTAGAAATCACTTCTTTAACAGAGTACAATATGACAAAGAATGCTGTAACAGCCGAGAAACACATGTATGCAGAGTCATTATACTTGCTTCGTTCAAGACAACAAGCACACAGCAAGAACAGCTCCTATCCTGTTTAATTTTAAATATCGACTCCTCCAACTTCCTCATATTTTCCATTAGATAACAGCTTGCTACTTTCCTGTCTGCAGCCTGTACAGCAGCGAACACAGATTTGCTAAAACAGCCTTAGGGATTTAACTATTTAATTAACCTCAAAGATGACACACGCAACGTAATAGCTTTTATCACTTTATCACAAGATATGCTTCCACCAACACAGAAAGTCACCTGTTACCTGCCCAGATGAGGCAGCAAGTTTGATACAAAACTAGAGAAGTCGATATCTTTCCTCACTCTTTTTGGAAGCAACTGTTACAGCTCATTTTCTCCTCAAAGTCAAGCGATGGAAGCAAACATGATAAAAATTTATAATGACTGCTAAAACAACGTCGATTTTCCACGGTTTGAATATCAATGGATTGTCACATAGGCCCTCAAATACCGACTCTCTTTTCATTCCACTATCATGAATACAGCTTACTTCTGGACCTAAGTTGTCTGCAATTTTTTTTGGCATTTCCTGATGTGAATCTCTCCGTTATGCTGGCACCATCAGCTGGCAGTATACAGTTTAGTTCCCTGTCAACTGCCTGACAAGCACCTTCCTCCGTTAGCATTTCTTTCGTATGTACTTTTCCTACTTTTGCCAAGAAATGATAGCATGCCAGAGAAAGAGCTGTAATTTCTTCTGTTTAGGTGTACTTCCAAATGTATCTGGCTGAAAAGATGACACTTCCCCCATCAGATTCCTACGTTGTCCTCCCAGATTACCTTATCCTAAATGCAGCCTTTTTTATAAGGCATTTCCTCACGTGAAATCAAACAACGCAGATAAGCAGCACGTGCTCGGTTATCACACAGACAATTCCGTCTACGCTCAGAAGCTGAGATGTTTTTAAATTAGGATGCAATTTTTCCACGTACCTTTTGTTTATTGTAATGCTTGTACATTCTTATACAGTGTTCAATGATGAACAAAACATAAATGCCTCCGAGTGCAACAAGACCTTTCAATACTGGATCATTTTCTTCTAGAAAGCCTTCGTTCTCTATTCCGTGTCCATGGGCATGTCGATGAGAATGCTTGTGTTCGTGAATGTGACCTTGGCCATGGTGGTGACTGTGGTTGTGGCCTCCATGTGACTACAAAGCAAGTAAGAACGCAGGATGACTTGGTGCAACCGGGGACTGAAACAGCTCAAAACGTAGAAGGCAAAATGTGTAACCTTGCCCAAAAAGCAGCATTAACGATGCTGTGGAAGATTCTTTTTAAACACATCTTACCACAGAAAATTTTTGTTAGACTATGCATTACTTTGATATTCCTCTGGTTAATTTTCAAGGGGGGAGAGGGGGAGGGGGAACGACACCATCTCTCCAGCTTTTTTCTGTCACTGTGCTGAAAAAAAATCAGAGAATCGCTCAGGAACATCACACAAATTACAGCTGCCACACTCCCACTAAGAACTAAACCTCACGTTTTAACTATTCCTACAGTCCTAAGTCAGTTTTGGAACAACAGCAACAACAAAATCTGTACTTAAGTTCACACACAGAAAACATTAGTCTTTTAGTTAAAAGGATGAAGATAACTAACAATATAGGAAATACTTCCTATTCTAAAAATTACATCAACTGTCACGAATGAAAACACGCTTACCTTCCCAGGAGCTTGGGCAGTTTCTTGACTTAGAAGTTTTTTTTTCTCCCCAGAAGCTACTAAGCAGGAAGCTGAATCCCCTGAAATACTTTTAGGTGGTACTGATACAGAATACCAGTTGATAAGATACAGTAATGCTGCTAAGTTTAAAATAATCTTGTTGGTCTCAGGTGTTTTTAAAAACATTCTGAAAGAAGTTTGGCTATGAACATACAACAACAATTATATTTGGTTTGTGTTGTTGTTGTTTTGTTTGTTTGTTTTTTAAAGAAACCTGCTTTGTTTTAATGGCAAGACTCCAATACTGTTTCAGAAAGTAGCTAAGACAATTCACTTCTACATAAAGGAACGTTTCTGTGTCAACACTCGTCAAGCATTTATAAGTTATATATGCACTTAAATTAGGATAAAATGTAAGAATAGCAATACTTACATGTGGCAACAGATGGAGTAGAGCATCTCCGCTCATTGTTCCTACAGCCAGAGCTACCAAGAAAGTTAGAAGAAATTTGAAGCACCATTGGTTAATGATGGGAATCAAGATCACACCTAGCAAGGAAAGCAGGCTAATGACGGTGATAGAGATGATACCACAAACCCAGGCTGTGGGAAGAAATGGATACAGAAAGGTTATCAGAACAATACTTCTAAAACTTCTAAGTCTGATTAAAGACTTTCAACTATCTCTTAAGAAGGTGACTCCCCTTTAACCTAAAGGTGCTGAAAAATACAAGACAGCACTTGAATCCACAGCAAAAATAACGCAGACTAGGTCACAACTCCAAAAAACCCAGTAGAATGCAATCAGCCAAGAACAAAACAGTTCATCTACTCCTTCTGACTTAAGTTCCCAGTTTAGCTCTGCAGCCCACTAACGAATCACAAAAACAAAACGATTTCATGCTGAAAAAAAAAAAAAAATCTCAGCTATTTTTCTTAGCTTACTATGACTTCGCAGGCATTAATTCATGTTTAACATCCAGTTTTCACAAGATTCTTATGGAAATTTAAATCGGAGCAAATATTTCTCCCCTTTGGTAGAAATAACGTTTAGCTACACACCACGCTCTTCATCCGGTGCTCTGAAGTACACATTTTTACTCACGAGAAAAGAGTTAACAAATGCTAAAATAAGAGTTGAAGAGATGAAAGCGCTTGCCACAAACAAAACCAGAATGCATTTTTCTGTTGTCATTAGAAAAAGCAATAATGGGCAAGTTAAAATCAGCACAACCCAGTGAGCTGGAGACATGCAGATTTCTTTATGACACGGAAAAGAAGGAATTACACAAGAAACAGATCCTACAAACAAGGAAACATGCCACTTGCAACCAGTATCTCACCCTAACATAATACTTTCTTTTTTGTCCAACCACAGAAAGTTCAAAGAAAAATAAAAGCTGCTTGATTCCAATAGCACAGTTCTTAAGTTTCACAGTCCCACACAGCCCCGAAGATAGGAATAGTCGGTGGCAGCAATATTAATGAGTTGCCTCTTCTCACTGATATCACAGCAACACACATAAAATAAGTATGCTTACAAAACAAAACAGAAATTTACACGTAACTTTATTAAACTAAGAGTCACGTATATATAGTAAATAAGGTTGCAGAAGAAAACCAGTGTCATTATGGAGAATAATGTATTACAGTGACACAGAGCAAGGAAAGATATGGCTCTCTACAAATTTTCACTACAAGCTCCCATTGTACAAATATTAACTGCTTGGGCTGAGAAGTTTTGAGAACACAATTTCCTCAAGTTGAACTTCTAAAATATTCCTCTCAAGTATTAGCCTAAATGTTTCAGGTATTTCCAATTTTCTTACTAGCTTCATTCTTAATTCTAATTGTCTGTTAGTTTGTGAACTTTAAGGGAAGTTAGCAACTTCTGAGTTTAAAAGCATTAGCATCTCTGTTACTTGGGTGCAGGATATGATTTCCTTTATGTCTGTGAAGATCCACTCGCTTTTGACCGAGCAGGGTCAAACACCTTGGGAAATGGGTGAGGGGATAGGGAGAAGAGCAGAAGGAATATAACATTGCAGCTGCTCAATGAAATATATAAGCTAGCAGTCGTATGCCCAAGAACTCCATTTGTACTAAAAGCGCAGATTTAGTAAGGTTTTGCCACTAAAACCTTGGCTGCTGCAGCCTGTCTGGTTAAACATCACTCGCTGCTTTAAATTTTATTTTGGGATTTTTTCATCCATACAAAGTGTGCACGTGCCCTGCGACAGCGCAGAAAAGGAAACAACCCAATTGAAATGCAAACGTTATAAGAGCATATCCACTAGGAGAAACTGACTAGAAAAAGCTTTGGAAAGCATGTGGCATATACTGGAACAGTGTGAAGAAAACAGGAATTGGTGAAAAAGCAAGGGCCACAATCAGACGCGGAAGTGAAGAACAGGAAGGCAGAAAATGGGAATTCAGAGGTAGCTCTAGAGTGGAAGCAAGACCCTGCAAACAAAAATACTGTCACTATACAACCTCGATTCATCGCCAGAGCACTTCTATCACGTACAGTCAACAAACAAGCCCTGCTGAAAGGGACAGGGACATGTAAGGGACAAGTAAAGATGTAACTCAATACCAAATCACAAAGCACATATCCAAGTTGCCCAAATTAAAATTACAGCTGTTTGGCACGAAACTGAATCTCCAATCTAGACACAGGTATTACGATGTTAGGTGCCAGGTTAAATGACCAACAGCCTTATATGGACACCAGAAATGGAGATGATGTGAACTGGCTGAAGTTTCATCTGTCACAGTGTAGCTTTGGCAAACACATCTCTGAAGGGCTTACATGCTTTTATGAATGATACAGCATCTAAACGCGGCACCATGATTAAAATGAGGCACATGAGAATGAGAATACAGAATCTCTGCCCCTCTCAGACTTTGGCCATCGGCTTCAGAAACTACTAAACGCAGCTACTAAACCTCTTAAAAGCGGTACGGATCCAAAAGTTAGCTTTCAAGTCACACAAAAATAACTACCTACAAAAGCAGGGTATGACCCGGTATTAACATGTGCATACAAACTGATTCTGATAAAGCTACATCCTGAGATGAAAGGGCTATTAATAACTCTGAACAAAATTACACCGACAAACAGCCGTAGTGACCAAAACACTAAAATGTTATGGAAGTAGAACTAATATGCAATATTACAAGCTCTGCAAAAGCTCATTAGTAATAAAAGACCTTGGTGTGTAACAGTCTCAGGAATACTATTTAAAGCTTAGTCAATGAAGTGAAGCAATTATATTCTGCCTTATAAAATGCTTGTAGAGAAAACAAGAAAGAGGTGATCCAACAACTTCCCCTGGAAGGGACCTCTGTTCAAACAGTAGGTAGCAAACAAAGCTGGCTGCTCCGCACCATACTGCACTGCTATTTGTATATTAAAACAGAATATAAAGATAGAAAGGTACACTCTTTAGAAAGCTGAGAAAGGCTAGCTATTCGCAACCTTTAAGAAAGGCTCCATCGCGCCTTTCCCGGATTCGGGGAATGGTCGGCTCCAAGGGAATGCTGGCATCCTCACAGGCAGATTTACAGGGCAAATACATCTGAAATACTTTTTAACAGCAGCTCTAACTGATCCCTGGCTTAAAAAAATTGTTCAGTGCTTATCTGCATCATTTCTCTGTGCTGCTCCTTTAGCAAGGGGCTAGATTCTTATTCAGGTATATATGTTTGTACCGATAGATGAACTGGGGCAATTATACTCTCAAAATCATCTTGTTCCACTTCAGATGTACACAGTTTTACTCTGTAAATGCACAGCACAAGCACACTTAAAAGACCTTTGCCAATATCTACTGTTATTCCGTCATTCATGCAAACAGTGAGCTGCTACAACTTCAGGCCCTACTTCAGAAGAACTGAATTAAGCAGGCAGGGTAGCATCAATCTGTTCAGTCAACCAAACGACAAAAGAAGATCATAAGATCTGTGTGTACTGAACTGAGAAAAGAAAAAAAAATACATCAGTTTGGCCAGTAACTACAGCAACATACATCCTCAAATAACTATATAATTTAAGAAAACCACAGTGTTTTTCAGATGTGGAAAACAGATTCGCTTTCCCAATCTGAAAAATGCATCCGCTTACTGATTTTAGGTCATTCCAGCTAAAAACCTATAGTGAAATAAGAAGTTGCACTAGGTACAGCACATACAGGGATCTACCTCTATGACTGACTGCACATCAGCAGTCGGACAGTCCACATGGCCTCTGGATGGCTGCGGAACAGACGGGGATGTGAGGAGAAAAGCAGAGGGGAAAAATAACACACATCATACAGCCCTCTGCCTGCTCCTCTCTTAGGTGTCTAGAAGTTTATTAATCAAAGAGATTAGTTTGATTCACAGTAGGCATACGTTTCCCGTATGTAAGTTAAGTTCTGTAGGAATGCTCTATTTATAAGGATGCAACTCTTCCAAGGGGTACACTACGAAAACTCAACTGCACGTAGAAGACTTTGAAACCTCCGTAACAGAAGACACTTAAGAATTATCTCAGTAAAAGGTACAAAACTAACACAGGTTTTATAAGTTTTCGGTCATCATTTAATTAAATTACTTTGCTCTAGATAACTGCACTGGGGGACCTAGTGAAAATCTTATAAGTTAATATGAGCAAACAGAAGCAGCGTTAGTCTATTACACATTTGGAAAGCTTTTCATTAAAACTAAAGAGAAGCACAAACATCTCGTGTTTAAAAATGGCCTGTGTGTTCCTAACTTCGCTAAGTACAGAGTGAAGAAAGTTTACACAAGCTGGGGCAAGCACACCTTCCACAATCCTCAAGCACTAGGTAAGATTTGGTATTTTATGATTCGCTTCCTTACTTAAAAAGCGAAAATGTCATTACATCACCGGAAGTCTCATACTTAGAAACAACACTGTATACGTGACACTGTTAGATTACAGGATTTGTCATCATCTCATCAGGCTGACCTACTTCAGAGGTTAGTGCTTGTTTTCAAAACCGAATTAGTAAGTTAAAAACCCACACATTTTTATAACTAACTGGCTAATGTGGCTTATACCCAAAATACCAGATACTACGGTATGTTACTGTCCACAATAAGGCTTGCTTATTTTGCAAATTAAGTCTCTTAATTTTACAGGATCTTCAAGTTCAGTTACTCATCAACTCTCCTACTCATTACAGAGAAAGAAAAAGCATTATTTTAAAAAGAAGCACTCAACCATATAAACTTTCTAATTATGTTGATTCAAAACATGTGCAACGTGACAGTTTTATCCATATTTTCCATATTTCAATCAGCAGAAAATGCTTAACGCTGTTCTACAAATCCTCTTGGTAGTAAGGCAGGACAAGGGCCAACTCTTACTATGGTGAGACTACCCACAAACAAACGATCTGCTGCCATATAAAAGACACAGGATATTCAGTTTCCAGCAATCTTTCAATAGTTTACAAGATACCATGTCACTATAGGAGATTTCTGTATAACATGTTTAAAAAATACCTTTAATCATATCTTCTGGAGAATGTACTGATAAAGGCACTGTCTCCTACTCCTAAACTAATATAGGCAAATCAAACTTAATAATAAAGTTAGCGCTGATGTAACTGCAACTTTTCAATTATGGACAAATGCGTGGACCATCTCAGCCTCTCTAAAAGGAAGTTGTAAAATTTTAAGTGATTTAAAGAACCCAAACTGCAGGAGGATATGCTGATCTTCAGAAGTGCTACCTGGAACGGGTAGCTCAGAGAAGCTACAGTAGAGGCCTCATCCCTGGAGGTAGTCAAGACCAGCTTGAATGGGGTCTGGGCAGCCCAATTTAGTGGATATTTCCCAGAGTCACGGTTCCTTTGGAGAAGCTAAGATTAAGCAAAAATTATGCTTTGTCTACTGACTTAACGGAGCGTACTGTCTCAAATATCTTCTAAACATTACTTCACTCTGCAGTGAACGCTAAGCTGTATGATGTTTCAAACTTTGAAGAAAAGTTAATATTCACTATGCAAAAAAAAATTATCAGAAGGCTTTGGATATGACACACCTACCTGAAGCACCTGTTTTATCTTCATTCTCAATTGATGCAGTTTTACTTTTCACAAAATCTTCAAGCTCATCGTAATGTACAATACAAAGCCTTCTGTCAATCTGGTATAGCAGAGCAGGACACATATATATAAAAAATTCAGGAGATATTTGAGAGCTGGCTTCCAGACCGTAGCGTCGTAGCAGCTGAGTAACATTCAAGCACTGCAAGCAAATGGTACAAAAAAAATTAAATATGAAAGCAACTTCATATTTCACTAAGAAAAAAAAACTACAGTTGTGGAGAACATAGCACATGATTTCAGAACACATACAGCAGTGAAAAACTGGTCCAAAATGTTCCATCACTGCTCAATCAGCCTCAGCTGATTTAAATGGTTTAGAAGAGGAACAAACTTTGAGTATCTGCATTATACAACTCAGTCCCCAAATGTTTATGTAATTTTTGATAAAAGTCAGTGAAAGCAAGTTTCATTTCTAACAGTTACACAGTACAAGCAGTAAAGATAGAGCAAGAAGAAAGGAATAGAACGTAAATCAATCCAAGCCAGGTTTTCTAATGCTTCTCTTTACCCATTAACGCTCTAGTGTTTAGAGTTTCCCTTTTCAATTAACTTTAAAAAACTGATTTGTCACTCGCTCCATCCCTTTTTATACTGCTATACTTGAAACCATGTTATCAAACCGTCCTGCTCGTGCTGTAAACTGTGAGGGGATAGGGACAGTGAATTTATGGACCTGGAAGAAATAGTGGATGCCGAAAAGTGTAACGGAAGAAAAAGCTTACACCATGCACAGTATTACAGAAGTTGCATCTATAGTGTTTCACAATCTTTTAGAACAAAGAAGCAAACACGTTGGAAAATACACATTCCTATCTTGGGAAAAAGTCTCTGCGCAGCTTCCAAAAATGTAAATAGTCTCAGATTCAAAAAGTCCAAAACACGTAATAACGGAAAAAAAAAAAAGAGGTACTCCTGAATATTGGAGGAAAAAAAGAAACAATAACAAAACCCACCACCTGTAAGCAAGGTACGTTAGAATGCTTTAAGTACGTCCTTGCCCTTTAAATGAAGACAAATAGGCAATATAACCTGAGAAAGATGGGTGACGGGCAGGCAGAACAGTTCATTCTGCTTCATCTGTGGGTAAGCATCTTCAAGTATTACTTAATAACAGCAAAAGCAAACCTACCAGTTCTCCATTTCGTACTCACCTCTTCACAATCACGTTCGTCTTCATTACGATCCTTATGACTATGTGCTGAAATAGTGTGTTTTCTTACACCTGTGTGCTTACAAGGTGCCTCTCGCTTGCTGGTATGGTGTCGTCCATCTTCACTACCTAGGCTGGAATCCTGATGTCCGTGATTAGCGGAACGATCGCCACTGTGCTCACGATGGTGCACATGAAAGTGAGATGCATCATGTACATGATCGTGTTTATGAACACGATTGTGCTCACACTGATCACCTAGGTGATGGTTCGGAGGACAGTCTTGAGTATTATCTCCTGAAGTCTCACTGACTTTCTTTCGTTTCTTCTTCTGTTTCCGCTGTTTTCTTTCACGCTGATCCTGGGTCGTGTTTGTTTCTGTGGAAGGCCCGTGATTCTGCTCTCCGTGTTCATTGTGAATGACTGAATCATTACGAGAATGATGTGTACCATTATGGTCAAGATGATGATGCGGATGAGGGTGGTGATGATGGTGATGGTGACTCTGGTCGTGAATACGTTTACCATCACCTTTTATAGATGACACTACCGCATCTCTCTCAGAGTTACATTTATGATTTTTCTTCTCAGCCATACCAACCACGGTTTGGTTTTCTGAATCGGAGTGGCTATGAGGATGGTTATGAGAGTGCAAATGCTTTCCTTCCTGTACTTCTAAAGCGTATAGGTGAGAAACATGATCGTGGCCAATATCATCATGATTTATCACTACTACTTTTACTTCTCCTAAGCCAAGGCTCGTTAACAGTTTTTCCAGGCCAAAAAAGGATAGTCTTCCATTTTCACCATAACGATCAAAAATTTTTTCAATGTAGTACTTCTGTTCATTTTCAGCTTCCGACGCTGAAAATTTACTCGGCACAGATTCTGATCCTGCGGTCTGGTGGTAGGGTGTCTCTGAGATCTGATAGCAGTTATGGTGGTCTTCATGTCCCTCTTCAGGACCATGGTCACGTCCATCTTTATGGCAATGACTGCACTGATGAAAGATAAATGTCAGCAAACAAACGATGCAAAATTTTGTGTGCATGTGTACCTTCATCTCTGTTTCCTACAAGAAACACAAGAGGAAGCAGTTAGGTGTAAAAACAGTCTCAGTATTATAATCATTCCAGTACTTACTTGCACCAACTGACTCAAATCTTGTTAAATATTAGCATTAACAGAAAAACAATTTTTTCCTTCAGGTACTGTATTAATATACCTCTTATAACAGTGAGAAGACAGGCTCTGAGCATTTCAGATCTGTAGTCTTATATGCCACGCTTACAGGAGACAGTTACAAGTAAAAGTTCAGCATGTACAGTCAGTCAGATAAGAACTTTTCTGCTTCTGTTCTCAGGAGCATCTGTGCCTATGGAAGCTGGTAATACTGAAAAATCTCAACAAGGCACGAGTTAAAGAATAAAAACACTGAAAATAACACTATGCTCTGTATTTTCTTATTTATGGCGATGATGGGAAGATAGTAGAGTTGAAAACTCCAGCATCATTTGCTCTTTCACGTGCAGCTAAACTGCCTCCAATAAACACACACCGCACAACTCCTAACTTACATTGGCAAACAGTGATTTCAAGACAAGTTCTCATCAACCAATTTCATAGTATTCCTAATGGATTTTGTTCTCTTTTTAGTACATTTTACTTAGATAAATTTACTGATCTCAAAGATCTATGCGGACGTTGGTTTAAAAATAAAGTTCTATATTACAGAAAAGGATATCCCTCCACGCAACCTGAAAAATACTGTTACGCAGACACACGCAATTTGCTCTGTTTTTCAGAAATTAAAACATCAAAGCAATGTCATCTCCTACCTTGTATTAAATGTAAGAAACAATTTTCAACATCAGGTAATAATGAAGACCCAGCATAAAGTCTAATGTGTTTTCAGATTTGAGAACAATTAATTAGCTCACAAAATATTTTCTAAAATCCGCTAACAAAAAAAACCCACAACCAAATATTTGAATAATTATTAGAAAAGAAACTTTAAGAAACAGCCATGAGTTTATTTGCCAATGATATTAAACTAAAAAGCTGAAAAACAAACCAAGAACTACATTTTGGGATGTCTAAATTCTAGAGACTTATTCTGCACAGAGAATATTCTCTAAAAGAGATGTTAAAGCCATCATTCAAGCACTGTCAAGGCCTTCTAATAATACTTCATTTGTACCCCTCGGTACAAGACAAAGTAAATTACAGCATTTCTTCTAGATGCATGTAACAGGCACAGACTGCAGCACAGGAATTTCCACGTGGACATAAGGAAGAACATCTTTACTGTGAGGGTGACAGAGTGCTGGAGCAGGCTGCTGGAGAGGTTGTGGAGTCTTCTTCTCTGGAGATCATCAAAACCTGCCTGAGCTGCTGGTTTCCTGCATGAGCTGCTGTACGGGGCTGGCCTGGATGATCTCCAGAGGTCCGTTCTGACCCCTACAATTGTGTGACGCCCTCCCAACCAAAAAGGAACATACGAAAAGAAGAAGCAAGCAAGGAGCTTCCCAAATTATTTAAACATTTTGCTGACTAAAAAATAAAGTAAGTACAGAAGTAGGGTTTCACACACAATTATTTATATATTCAGGATGATTGAGGAGGAAATGAGAGCTGACAAAGCACAGGAATCCACCAGCCTGATTTTTATACATCCATATACTGTCAAGACACCCTGGCAAAGTATGAGGCAAATAGATCAACTGTACTTGGAACCTGTTTTACACCGAAAGCAATTTTCGCTCCCTGCGTGCACCTCAAATAGAGCTGATCAAACTCTCCTAAAATGAGATCGAGTTTCACACAACAAATGGTGTACGTACTCATTCTTCTCTAGCCCCGATGCTGTGTTCTGTGAAACTGAAACGCAGAAAACTGCTTTACAACAAACCACCACCATTTCCTATCCATTTTAATTTCTTAAAATATTAGCTAGATGCTTTGCATTTAAGCACTTGGAATCACATTACTGTACAGGCACACACATCATACAAAAATCTATACCTGCAACAGGTTGACAGAAAGAACTGAAAATAGGAAAGGGCTTCTGTTTTGTACCTTTATATAGCAAATAAATGAGTTAAAACATTAAACTGGAGAAAAGGTTTCCTTCCATGAACTTCTATAAATACAGAAGATGAAAATTCACCTTCTGGAACCTTAAATGCTCTAAAAGAAAAGAAGAAGAGCAGAATCTTCTTTTAATCTAGTAAGAGATGTAAGATCAGAAGGGTATCTGTCAACTGGAGCCATCCATATCAAAAAAGATTCAAGGAATATCAGAAAGATCCATGGGTAATCATTTACATTACACCTTCATAACCAGCTCTTCTATTAGGAATTTGTAATCACTGCAGTCTGAGTTCAGGGCTCTGAACAAGCATTTCATTTTCAGGAACTTTAGAAGGATGAGTTCAGCCCCAAAGTTTATTGAGAAGACTTCCGTGCAGTCTTTTCTTTCACCCACAGAGTCTATTTAACAGTCTGATTAAACAAGAAACATTAAAAGCATCCCAAAATGCCTTCCAGAAGCCCTTCCACTCTCCTCTGAGGAAACGGTTAAGCACAGAAGTTGCTGCTGATGGAGTGGAAAGAAACAGGTTACAAACCTCTATCCAAGAATCACTGGACTGAGCCAACCCTCAGACCACACAACCATCTGGAAACTCATTCCAAGGTCTTCAAATAAAAACCTGTGCTCTTTTCCACACAGGCTGGAAGCCTGGGCTCTATGACTTGTGTCATCCCTGTAAGCAGAATACTTGGCAGTACGTAAGGCACTGGATCGGGCGCGTGGCTGACTACGGATCAGCAGAGCTCCGCATTTCTAGAAGAATACGTTGATTTTCATTAAATGAAGATTCACAATGAGGAATGTTACTCAATGTAAAGAGCAGGTTCAAGGGCTGGAGTAAGCAGTTAAGAGGTACCCAAGATAATGGAAAGCCCTGAGAGAAAGATGTGTAGACACACTTGCCTGCATGATGCAGGAGTAGGTAAGCGCACGCAGCATACTGTAATTCTTTAGAAAATTGTTTAGTCTTTCTTTAACTTCAGTTTCTTGGTATAAAACCACCATCTTAATGGTAAGTAAGTTCAGTTAATGAAAGCATACTATGTTTGAAGGTAAGATACCTTGTCTTCCCCTTTGCCACGTAACGGTCATACAACCAGAACAGGCAAAGCAAAACTATTCCCATTTAAACCAGCACAATTCAGACTTAAATGTCTCCATCAGGAAATTCATGACTAAAGCATGATAAGCATGATCATAATCCTTTTCACAACCTCATGATCTTGTTCATGTGACCGTCTCATACAATACTACTAACACATTACTTTGAAATGTCAGTCATGCATGTATAATTGCGGTATTTAGCTTTGAATGGTACCTTTTCTCCATGTCCTAATGGTTAAAAGTTTGTCATCTATGATCACGATTCACTGCTCAAACTCAAGAGATAAGCATATCACTTATTTCACAATCAATTTAGATGTCTATTCTTAATAAAACTAATAATAACCTTGGCACAATATTTTTAAGTCCAAGATAGTCTTTTTTATCTTGTATTTCAATTCTTACCTTACAGAAGATGCTTACAAAACAAACATCCGTATCTTAAAAAGCCTCTTATAGAACAACTGATAAGAGTAGGTTCTTTCTTTCATTTTTATGTGTCATTAGTTGCTAGGCAATTATAGATAGCTCCCACCCGGCAGTACGTCCATCAGTATTCGTACATATATAACACCAGAAAGCAGAAGTCCAAATTTGATACACATCAGTGACACAGAACTGTACACAGCTCATCTCAGCGTAAGCACATTAAGAGCCTTGAACCCTTTCAAAAGACCGTAGAAAGGCAGCCTGAGGACAAGGATATGAACGTGGAAAAGATTCCAGATATTATAGCTGCCAGCCTTGGCTTTACTTTACGTGCTCGTGATTCCTGCTGCCCATCCTCCTTTCCTCAACAGCACAGGGATGGCTGGGAACCCAGCGGGGACAGAAACGAGCAAACATCCCCAAGCTGCAGTCTGGGTCAGAAACTACAGCAGCTAAAACCCACAGCCCAGAGTGGGACCTAATGGAACCTGCTGCTAACAAGAACAAGGCTCGCCTTTTGGGATGAGTTCAGGCAGTGGGACAAATCCACCTGAAAGTCATGCTGCAAAATTAGAATAACCATGCACACGTACAATGGGTAAGATAAACAGCCCTGCTGTGCCCACTGGCATTTAAGGAAATGCAAACGGGGCAGCCAAATGTACCCCAGTGTCCCCTCAGAGCAAGCAAATCATTCCGACCCAATGCAGTTCTGACTGCATACTCACCAACAAGGCTTTTACATGGGAGGCTTGAGGCCAAAGAATCTGAGCACAGCATCAGCATCTTTTACCTGCTCTGTATGGAAAACTCACAGCATCTCTTATGCCACACCACTCCTTCTGGCATTTCCTCTATTGAAATAAATCCATCTCTAATCAAAGTGGGTATTATTAGAGCCTTTCTCACTCATCTTCCCTTGAATTCCTGAAATGTTTTCACAGCCCCTAACATTTCAACCGCTCTTCTATTTCATACCTGTAGCATGAAAGGTATGTATAAAGAAAGTGTACAAAAGTATATTAAAGCCCGGAATAGGAACATTATTTGGGGGGACATTTTTGTTTATCATCAACCGCTTCACTGAAAGTAGAAAACCAGTCTGACGGCTAGGTCTGACTTACAGTAGCACCCTTGGATTCCAATAATGCGGTCCTGTAAAATTCAAGCTCAGGTGACAACTGGGGATATCACTGAAGTGCTCCAACCCATACATTGTTCTTAGTACGCATTGTTCTTAGTACGCAAACACCGACTGGTCTAAGTGCTCAACTTCTCCCCCCTCACTTTTGTCTTATTCCTTCCCAACGATTTCAATTAACAGAAACATTTGAAACAAATGCATTGGATTTCTGCCCTTGCAAGTATTCATTTAAATTTCTCCCTTTTAATTTTCTTTCCATGCTTTCTCGCAAGAACGTTCTGCCTTTTTATTCCATCTGCAG